ACCACCACCTGGTGGTGAGCTGGATACGCTGGAAGAGGAGGAAGCCTGAAAGACTCGGCAGGCCCAAACGTGTAGTGAGGGTCTGCTGGGAACGTCTGCTGGAACCCTCGGTCAGGGACGTGTTCAACTCCCACCTCCGGGAGAGCTTCTCTCAGGTTCCGAGGGAGGTTGGAGACATGGAGTCCGAATGGGCTCTGTTCTCTGCCTCTATTGTCGATGCAGCTGCCCGTAGCTGTAGCCGTAAGGTTTGCGGTGCCTGTCGTGGTGGCAATCCCCGAACCCGGTGGTGGACACCGATGGTAAGGGATGCTGTCAAGCTGAAGAAGGGGTCCTATCGAGCTTGGCTGGCTTGTGGGACTCCTGAAGCAGCAAGCAGGTACCGTGAGGCCAAGCGTGTCACGGCCCGGGCGTTTGCAGAGGCAAAATCTCGGGCCTGGGAGGAGTTCGGAGAGGCCATGGAAAAAGACTATCGGTTGGCCTCAAAGCGATTCTGGCAAACCGTCCGGCGCCTGCGGAGGGGAAAGCAGGGCTTCGCTAACACTGTTTTCAGTGGGAGTGGGGAGCTGCTGACCTTGAAGGAGGATATTGTCGGGCGGTGGAAGGAATACTTTGAGGATCTCCTCAACCCGACGGACACGCCTTCCGTGGGGGAAGAAGAGATGGGGTGCTTGGGGCTGGGATCGTTCATCACCCAGGCCGAAGTCACCGAGGTGGTCAAAAAACTCCACGGTGGCAAGGCTTCGGGAGTATCTTAGAGCTCTGGATGTTGTCGGGCTGTCATGGTTGACACGTCTCTTCAACATCGTGTGGAGGTCGGGGACAGTTCCCCTGGATTGGCAGACTGGGGTGGTGGTTCCCCTCCACAAGAAGGGGGACCGGAGGGTGTGTTCCAATTATCGGGGAATCACACTTCTCAGCCTCCCAGGAAAGGCCTATGCCAGGGTGCTGGAGAGGAGAGTCCGGCTGATTGTCGAACCTCGGCTGCAGGAGGAGCAGTGTGGTTTTCGTCCTGGCCGTGGAACAGTGGACCAGCTCTACACCCTCTGCAGGGTGCTTGAGGGTTCATGGGAGTTTGCCCAACCAGTCCACATGTGTTTTGTGGACTTGGAGAAGGCATTCGACCGTGTCCATCGTCCTGCACTGTGGGGGGTGCTCCAGGATTATGGAGTTGGGGGCCCTTTATTAGGGGCCATCCGTTCTCTGTACAAGCGGAGCAGGAGTCTGGTTCGCATTGCCGGCACTAAGTCGGACCTGTTCCCAGTGCATGTTGGACTCCGACAGGGCTGCCCTCTGTCACCGGTCCTGTTCATAACTTTTATGGACAGGATTTCTAGGCGCAGCCAAGGACCGGAGGGGGTCTGGTTTGGGGAACAGCGGATCTCGTCCCTACTTTTTGCGGATGGCTCCCTCCTGCCAAGACCTACAGCGTGCGCTGGGGCGGTTCGCAGCCGAGTGTGAAGCGGCCGGGATGAGAATCAGCTCCTCCAAGTCCGAGGCCATGGTTCTCGACCGGAAAAAGGTGGCTTGTCCCCTTCAGGTTGGAGGAGAGTCCCTGCCTCAAGTGGAGGAGTTCAAGTATCTTGGGGTCCTGTTCACGAGTGAGGGAAGAATGGAGCGGGAGATCGATAGACGGATCGGTGCTGCTGCTGCAATAATGCGGACGCTGACCGGTCTGTCGTGGTGAAGAGAGAGCTGAGCGAAAAGGCAAAGCTCTCAATTTACCGGTCGGTCTACGTTCCTACCCTCACCTTTGGTCATGAAATTTGGATCATGACCGAAAGAACGAGATCGCGGATACAGGCGGCTGAAATGAGCTTTCTCCGCAGGGTGGCTGGGCTCTCCCTTAGAGATAGGGTGAGGAGCTCGGTCATTCGGGAGAGGCTCAGAGTAGAGCCGGTTCTCCTCCACATCGAGAGGAGTCAGTTGAGGTGGCTCGGACATCTTTTTCGGATGCCCCCTGGACGCCTCCCTCGGGAGGTGTTCCAGGCACGTCCCACCGGGAGGAGGCCCAGGGGACGACCCAGGACACGCTGGAGAGACTATGTCTCTCGGCTGGCCTGTGAGCGCCTAGGGCTTCCCCCAACAGAGCTGGAGGAGGTGTCTGCGGAGAGGGAAGTCTGGGAGTCTCTGCTTAGTCTGCTGCCCCCGCGACCCTGTTCCGGATAAAGCGGGAGACGACGAGTACGACGAGTACGAGAATTCTAAGGCAACGCAAATATTAAAGGAATAGTACACCCAAAACATGATTAGCCTTCATTTTCTACTCACCCCCATGCTGAACAAAACTCTGGAGTACTTTTTTGATATCTCAAATGCATCTGGAGATCTGGGAGGCTTCTTGCTGTCTGCTGACATTCAAATAATGGAGGTCTATGGCGCCCGAGACAGAAAGGTCCACAAAAGTCCACAAAAACTTGTCAATATTCCTCCATACTGCTCGTCCAATGTAATCCAAGTGTCCTGAGTGGGTAGCATCCAGAATTTACTCGAAACGAAGTCATTTAGAATGTTTTTAGAGCCTAAACAGTAGTGTATAGGATTTCCTAATAGCGCCCCCATGCGCGCTCACGATTCTACGGAAGCCGGCAGACCAAACCAGCGCATTCAGCTCGGCAAAGAACTCATGCTCTTCCTCAACACTGAAGACCTCAGACATTTTTCTTTCGTTGTTTCTTTCTTTGCACAGGTAAACAGCACATTTCTTCTTCTACGCTTGCATTATCGGCAGACCAGACGATGAATGCGCACTTTCTTCCGGTTTGGTCTGCCGGCTTCCGTAGAATCGTGAGCGTGCATGGGGGCACTATTAGGAAATCCTATACACTACTGTTTATGCTCTAAAAACATTCTAAATGACTTCGTTTCGAGTAAATTCTGGATGCTACCCACTCAGGACACTTGGATTACATTGGACGAGCAGTATGGAGGAATATTGACACGTTTTTGTGGACTTTTATGGACCTTTCTGTCTCGGGCGCCATGGACCTCCATTATTTGAATGTCAGCAGACAGCAAGAAGCCTCCCAGATCTCCAGATGCATTTGAGATATCAAAAAAGTACTCCAGAGTGTTGTTCAGCATGGAGGTGAGTAGAAAATGAAGGCTAATCATGTTTTGGGTGTACTATTCCTTTAAGGTTAAGAGGCTGAGCTCGTAGATGATGATAAATAACATAGTTATGTATAATATATTACATTTCTGACTGTATATCCCTGTAATTATTACACACTGTAGCTTTAAAAATGCTGTTTTATATATATATATATATATATATATATATATATATATATATATATATATATATATATATATATATATATATATATATATATATATATATATATGTGTGTGTGTGTGTGTGTGTTATATGTATATATATATATATATACACACGCATAAAGTGAGCTGTAGTTAGCTCAAATGATTAAGATCCTTCAGTCAAACAGCATTATTGTTAGCTCCTTCAACACTGCATTGTCTAATATGAACTGTGGTTAAACTGACATAGCCTCTGGCTTTTACTGGTATTACTGCTGCTGACTGGGAACATTATAAATGGACTCATTATATGCTTAATTAGACTTTAGAGCTTTATGTGGGTGTATTGTTCACAGGCTGTTTATGAACCAGATAAGATGAAAACAACCCTTAGTAAAATACCCACGAATCCACCATTAGTCATCGATGACCAAGAGCGAGAGAAAAGAAAGGAAAGAGAGATTTTTTGTAGGTTTGTTTAGGTGTATCAGGATCAGGCCGTAAGCCTGGTTCAGAAACAACATATCAGGGTGGAAATCAGCCGCTGCTGCAGCAGCATTCCACACATGCAGACACAACTTCCCTTCATGGTCCACACTTGCTCCGAAGAGTTATCTTCCTCTACCTGAGAGGGTTTTGGATTCCCTGCATTCTTCCTCTACACTCTGGTACGACCCACTCCGCTTTAAAACCCAGCCAAGGTTTGATCTTTGGAGGGGAAAATGAGTGCCTCCCGCAGTGGCGCTGGCACCGTGAGACTGCTGCAGAACAAATATGCTGAAACGTCCTTCCTGGAGAGGAACAGCCGTCTCCCAGGGGAGAGCTGCACTCTGGTATTTGCTTCATCACGTTTAAACCCCCCCCCCCCCAATCCTTTGCTGTTTTTGCTCTCCCACTACAATTCCTGTTCTTATCTGCTTTATCTCACAGACCGGGCAGCAAAGATAAACGCAGATTCCTGTAGGAAACCAGACACTATCAATTGCCCAGGCTAACATTCTAGCTGCCATTGAGTCTTTTAGGACAGAAAGCAGAAGCCAGAGAGATGGATGGAAACGCCTGAAACACGCCATGGATTAATAGCCCCATTTAGGCTACCCTCTGAAAACCGATCCGTGCTAAGCTCTGTTCCTTATGACCGTTTACACACCACGCTAGCACAGATTGTGACGTTCTACGGTACTACTGCTTTCTAGAAGAAAACAAGCAAACCAACATGGCGGCACATGGAACATTCAGAAAGTTCGTGCAGAGTCAGGCGCAGAAGGGAGCCTTTTGGGGAGTGGATATAACAAACACTTGTGTAATCAGGGCTTACAGACGCAGGAAACAATGACAGAAGTTAAGGTTAATCACACTGCAAAACAGAATCATCAGTGGAAATCGTCGGGCATAGTAGGGAAGCTTGTATTTCTATGAATCTCTGAAATTTCATGACTACAGAATCTGACTGTAAGGACATGACACGGTATACTCATGCGCTCTTTGGTATCAGAGAACTGCAGCACAACTAAACACAACTAAACCGAGATCTATTGATGACCTAGTGCCACTTTAGCGTGGTTCAGGTGTGTCGAGCGCGACCCGGTTCAGTTCTGGCTGCCATTTACACTCAAAGGTTTTCTCCGTTACCGTGCTCAGACCAATCTCGGACTGGTTTCAAAAGGGTAGTGTAAATGGGGGTTATGAAGCCACCTCTGCTGCCTTCATTTTGCTTGTGTCGGAGGGTTAGAGCATTTTACCTTCTTGAAGAGGCGTCCTGAGTCCTCGCTGATCTGCGCAAACCTGGGAATGATGTTGTTGAGGTAGAGGTCAGACAAAGTGGCGTGGTCACGACTCTCCCTTTTCACCTGCAGCAGCAGTAGGTTCCAGCAGTTAACCGGAGACAAGATGGTCTGCTCCTTCCTGCAAACACAGACGGGGAGAGTTTAAAAGCTTTTTAAAACCAGTGCGTCTTTTTTGCAAAAGCTTTCAAACCCTCTTTGACTTATTGTTTATATTTAGTAAAGCTACAGCATACATTAATAGGTCTAATTATTGTAAGTTATCGTGTACATTGTGCACAATAAAAAACAAAAAAAACAACTTAATTAACAATTAGTCAACATAATCGCCATGGTAGCAAAACACCACAAAAAATCAGCTAAGGACAGTTTTAAAGCAGGCTTAGTTTAAAAAAATCCTATAAGCTGTGAACGTCTCACTGCACACTAGTCCTTCATCTGACAGCAGAGTCATTTCTGTCCACCCCAAATGACAGGGCAGGCAGTGAGAGCAATAATCAAAGAAGCAGCCATGAAAACCCACAGTAATTCCGGAGGAGCTGTAAAGAAGCGAAGCTTGGGTGATAATCTGTTGACAGGATAAGTTCTGGTCTTTATGCAATACTGTCAATAAAAGCCTCTGCACTCCAGTCCAATACTATGTGGGGGTGGAAAAATAGCCTGGAGAACAGTCTGTACCATGAAACACGGCAGTGGCGGCACCATGCTGTGGTTCTTCAGCAGGGACAGGGAAGCTGCATGGAGCTTAACTCATGAAAGCAAATCTGTTAAAGTTCACACATGACTGAAGCCTGTGGGGCAGAGGTTCTTTTTCCAACGTCACATAAGGTCAGAGCTCCAATGGAGACTGCTTGGATCAAAGCACGTTCATGAATGATGGCCCAGTAGCATTGAGGACGGGACTCTCGCTGATAAGCTAACAAAATGAAATCTGCAGCAATTTGTTCACAGACCTTCCTTGATTTGAAAGTCTGACGCTTTAACACATTTGCTAAATGTAGCTGTTTATCCTGGTTAGTTTTAAACACACACCTAAAACATTAAAACTTAACATCAGAAACACATATGAGCAGAAAGCCATCATCATTTCTTTTAAAACACACACACAAGTCTTCTAAAGAAACTGAAACCTTGCCCAGAAACACAAGCCACAGCCATAAAAAAGGCCATCAGGGAGAGGAGGCCTTTCCTGCAAAGGCACAGTTGCCATTTATAAGAAACGGAAAACTTAAAACTACAGTACCAACTTTTTTTGAAGACTCCATTGGAAAGCCATTAAAAAAAAGCTAGCGTAGTAAAAAAACTGCCCGCTTATGCAACAGTACAGCTGCTTTGTGTAAGTACAGTACGAGTAATGGGTGATCCATGGATGATCTAGTGGGTAAAATGGATTATGAGTGAGTGTAAGTGGATGAAAGAAGGCCTTTGTGTCGTTAAGAGCAGCTTAGCTGGATAGAGAGCAAAAGAGCTGCAAGGCATTTACATGAGGGGGGGTCCAGGGAAAGTAGAGCAGTGACTGAAGCATACACAATGTCACACGGACAGAGAAAGTCCTTGATTGAAGGGTATTGAGTTTGGGGTTTTTGTTCATAGGGAGGTGTGTCTGGGGGGGACGGGACGAGGTGGTACATGATGTCACAGGTCAAATGGCTGTGATAAGAACAACCGTGGCATGACAAAAGGAAGAAAAAAAATCCCCAATACTCTAATTCAAAACCAAGAATACTGACCACCACCCCCCCACAATACGTTTGAGGCTGAAAAGTCATGTGGACCAGAGTGAGTGTTCACTTCCCTCGGTTGGCAGTTTTTTTTTTTTTCTGTTCTCCACTGGTTGCACAACACCAAGACGGGGGTTGAAGTTCCTCTGTTGCTTCAACAAGCTGTTGGCTGCACCACCGTGTGACATTTCGCCCCGTCGTTGATGCGGCAATGCCGCTCGTCTGAATCACTACCCTTTTTCCAGACAACACAAGCAAATAGTGAGAGAGGCGTGAATGCCCGATGGTCGCAATAGACATGTTTCTATCTATCCACCTGTACATCGCAGAGCAATACAGGGAAACAATCATGCAGACACCCCTAAGGGCAATTTAGAGACACCAGTCAACCTACAGTTATGTTTTTGGACTTTAGGATAAGGCTGGAGAACCAAGAGAGAACAAACACATGCAGCACCCTCTTGCTGAAAGGCCACAGACAAACAAATGAACAAAACTAACTGTGCCAGCCTGTTTTACTATATTATTAATTAAACATAAAAACCAAAACTATAAACCTTTAATAAACCATTAACTAAAACTAAAAGTATCATCCAACAGATACAAGCCACCTGTACCGCATTCCCATTGGCCAAAAAAACGGTTAAAACCCGGGAACAATCGTGTTTTAGTGGCAGTAGGAACAGCTGACTGACGTGTGTCTACCGGGCCAAAAGACTCGTCAAACAACCCACGTTAAAATTGCCTTGGCTCTGTTTTACATGCTGTGGGAACATCAGACCCGGTTTCATCCGCTAAATTACCCGACACCATTGAAGGCAACGTACAGACGTCAATACACAGCGCCAACTACGTCTGATCTAACAAGCTGAAACAACTCTGCTTAGATTCATTAAACATGGCACAGAACTGGTGAGAGGGATTTGGAAAGATAAAAGAGCGTAACAATAAAATAAACCACGCCCTGGCTTCCTTCCGTGTTGCTGTCCATTGTTTACTTTCCTGATTTATGTCGAACTGATAACATCATCAACGCTAACCCAGCGTGATGTCACCAGATACCCAGCGTTCTCACGCACCTCACTCTTCTAGCTCGTCCATCTTCACAAGTCATTTTCCACAATGGTGGTCAAACAAAACAGGAAATACACATAGTGTAGAGGGGATGTACATTTGACTAATCAGATGCCTCTTGTCTGTTGTTCTACAATTTTGGAGAGTTGCACCAGAGTCTGCAGGCAAATTTGATTTCACTGCGACACAAGCAGACAACCTGGCTTCTGAGTATAAATCACCCTTTTGACCCACTTTTTCTTAACTAATGGTAAGGGAGCCAAGTGCCAATAGCTAGCGGGTCGACCCATGTTTGAAAGTCGCAGGTTAACCCGCTAATTTCAGTGGGAAATCAATCGATGAATTCAGTCCATCAGTCTTTATTGTCAACTAGTCTCTAGTCTTTCAATGACACCCTCATTCATGAACGGGTGAAGAAACAATATTCATAGGATGTTAGGTTTACCTCTGAGAGATATTAGACGTTGTTTAATCAAAAAACACCTGGACATGACATAAAACATATTAATGCTGCATTTTAGATATAATCTAACTAGATGTGGTTATTAGCAAAACCTTGAGCCGTCAGAATCGGAAATTTCATTTTCTTACAGAAACATCCCATGAAATTTCCATGTGAAAACCCACGTGAAATCTATGCATTCCATGGGAATTCACATGTGTATCACATGTAGAAACACATGTATGTGTGGAATTCGAACGTTTCGTATTAAGATCAAGTGATACCCATGTTTTTCTCGCGACACATAAATTTTACCACATAATTTTCATGTTTTTCACAAGTGATACACGTTCTCACATATGATTTCCATGTTTTTCCACATTCCATACCCATGTTTTTCACATGACATTAGGGCTGAAATAGTTAATCAGATTAATCGATAATTGAAATAATTGTCAACTAATTTAGTAATAGATTAATCGTTAATTGGAGTTTAGAGACTCTAAAACATGCCTTTAGCTGACAGAGCGATCCACTTAGAGCATTAATTATATCAAAATTATAAATAATAAAATTGAAACAGTTTGCATTTAAGATAAAAAAAAAAAAAATATTGGTCCTGGAAACCTTTTCTAACCTTCCCATGCATGGCTAACCTGCTGAAATTACTCCAAGATGCAGCAATTGCTGCTCCAGGTGGACACGACATGTAAAGTACTTCAGATGCTTCATTTACTATCAATGTTCACTATTCGATAAGAGGTGGTATTCAGTTAGATGAGCATACCTCGTCAGACCAGCATACCCATAGTCAATACACATGCGCAAGACTTCAGATTTGCATTTATCCCTTCAGTTTTGTACAAAAAATAGACCCTAAACTACCTCGACAGGCAGGTATCCCTTTAGCCATGTACAAAAAAAAACAATTTAAGATGAGATCAAGTAATTAAATTCTTTTTTTCTTCTATTTCGAGAATAAAATTGTAACATTACAAAAATAAAGTCATAAAATTACGAGAATAAAGTCGTAACATTATGGGAATAAAGTCATAACATTAGAAGAATAAAGTCGTAACATTACGAGAATAAGGTTGTAAAATTACAAGAATAAAACCATAACATTATGAGAATAAAATTGTAACATTAGGAGAATAAAGTTGTAACATTATGAGAATAATGTCGTAAAATTACGAGAATAAAATTGTAACATTAGGAGAATAAAGTTGTAACATTATGAGAATAATGTCGTAAATTACGAGAATAAAGTCGTAACATTACGAGAATAAGGTTAAAAAAAAAAATAAAAATTATTGGTCAATATGCTTTATCCAGAACTCTTTAAGTGGAAATATTTTAGTTTCACCTGGTATAATTTTATATATATATATAAAAAAAAATCTTCTTTAAAGTTCTTTTGTCTGATTATTAATCGATTAAACGAAAAAATAATTGACAGACTAATCGATTTTCAAAATAATTGTTAGTTGCAGCCCTACGTGACGAACATTTTACATGTTATGCACATTTTCCACGTTATTTCCATGTTTTTTCACATTCGATTCCCATATTTTCCCCACGCGACTCACATTTGAGGCACATGTGAAACTATGTCAATCACATGTGCTCTATGCATTAAACTTTCCAGAAATCAAACTTTTACACATGCAGTACATGTGATTTTCCTATGTGAAATCCACGGCATGAGTAAGGGATTAACAAATCCTATTCTTTATTAATTGAAATTCCCAGATCTCATGAATTTAGTTCTTCATCTTAAATGCCATAATGACAGAAAGCATTGTTTAAATCTGTTGTCCATTGGCGGTAGTGGGGGGGATCATAACTGGCCAGACAAAGCAGATGTAATTAAAAATTTATATT